TCTTATTAAAAAAAAAAAATCCCTATTAAAATGACAGTCCGCGAAGAGAATGTATCTGTGTGTGCAAACATTTATTTTTAAAGAATCAGATCTTTAGGCTGGGCGGTGGTGGCACACGCCTTTAATCCCAGCACTCGGGAGGCAGGGCCAGGCGGATCTCTGTGAGTTCCAGGCCAGCCTGGGCTACCAAGTGAGTTCCAGGAAAGGCGCAAAGCTACACAGGGAAACCCTGTCTTGAAAAACCAAAAAAAAAAAAAAAAAAGGAAGAAGAAGAAGAATCAGATCTTTGCTTTTGCTTTAAGTTACTCTGGAAAGGACCACTGTATAGGCTGGCTTCAGACTGAAATCAGCCAACTCCCAGGTCTGAGTCTTACGCTTGTATAATTTGCCTGAGGCTAGGGAGTAGTGGCCATGAAATCTCTGAGGAGAAGGGATGGTGCATTCCTGGCTGCTGGAAGCAGGAATTCCAGGGACTCTTAGAAAGAACACAACAGAAGGCCTCTCCTCTTTCTTTCACCAGTAGGATTGAGGGCATTTCTATCTTTGAATTTCCAGACAAGGTTCCACAGGGAAGCTTAGTCTACCTCCATCTTAACCTCTGCGGAGGCTTTCATGTTGTCAGCAGAGGTTGCCATGCCAACAGTTGTCCTTCCTGGGTCACCTTCCTTTGATAGCCGGATCTGTCTGCCTTATTATCAATTAAAAGCTCTGAGACTCATCTGGAGATTTGCCTTAGACCTGTCTTTGAACCTTACGCAAAAGACCCAGAGTCCTCCCCACCCTTTCCGCCTGTGCCTGTGTGTCCTGGTGGACATGAAGTGTGACCTGGCTGCTCCTCTGTCCAGGCTCTCCGTAGGAGGGTCTGTGGTTGGGTTATAATCCCTTATCAAATAAGACCTGCAAATCTGGACCCGAGGCTCACCCAACACCACCCCCTGCCCTGCGAGTTCTGACAGTGCTGTGGTGCTGGGCCCTGGGCCTTGTTGGGGTGTCGACATGGGGAGCTGTAGCGGGGTGGTCTGAGTGCCGAGCTTCTTAGTGCCTGACCCACCCGCACCTCTCGGTTTGGAAAGCAGACAGAGTGGACCTAGCTGGTCCCACAGAGCCAGCCCCTGCCTTGCTCACTCCCTGGGCCTGCCCTGTTCCTGCACAAACAGAGCTTTGTCTCGCCCAGCCTCCGGGGCTCACTGAGGCACTGAAGAGGAAAGTAAGTGCCTTTGACTGGCACTCTAATGGAGCTGAGAGGCTCCATGGGGTCCCAGTCTCTTCTAGAGACTATGCAGCCAGTGTTCTGCCAAAGTCCTGGGTGTGCTGGTGGGGCCAGGGGTGGGTTTGCTGCAGTTCTGGGTTCAATTCGCAGTATTTACATATTCCAGAGCCTGAAGCAAAATAGGGACCAAAGAACCGAGGTTAATCCCCACCCCTTTCTGGGTGTGTGTGCCTCCACTAAATTATCTCTTTACATCTACATAATACACAAGGCCCCTATGTTAATATTCTGACCCGCCCCTTGAAATCCCACCCCTTGGGGCCACCCTGCATCATGAAGTAAAAGACTCATTCATCTCTCTGTCTCTGTCTCCGTCTCTCTGTCTGTCTCTGTCTCTGTCTCTGTCTCTGTCTCTGTCTCTCTCTCTCTCTCTCTCTCTCTCTCTCTCTCTCTCTCTCCATTCCCACAAGGTGTGCATTCCTCTGCTTTCTCTCCCTTCTCTTTCTTCCTTGTCTCCCTCTTTCCTATCTTTCTCTTCACCTCTCTATTATAATAAACTCTCCCTGTGGAAGCAGCGCCTGGGTGTGAATGACTTTCCACACTGCCACCCCCTCTCACGTGTGGGATACCCTGGGGGCTCCCCACTCATGCAAATTCGTAACACCCTGGTTTCATCCCTGTCACCGCACAAACAAAACAACAACAACAACAACAAAAAAAAAAACATCTAACGACTGAAATAGCCCATTGAAATAATTTTAAAATTCAGGTCATCAAACCTAGACATCTTTTATCTCTCGATTACAAAATGAATCATTTTTAGAAAGTGGAGCTTTGAAAAAACTGGATTATTCTGGAGGCTTGGTACAGATCATGCATCACCAAAGTGGATTAAAGGTTCAAAGACTGAGTTTCAGTTATCCTCAGAATTCAGCCAGAGGCAACAGGTCCTTGCCAAGATTCTTCCCTTATCTCTTATGAGAAACTTATCACTGGTGTGCCGTGTGCCAGGGGCAAGGGTTGGCTTCTGCTAGTGATTAAATAGTGTTGCAGAATGGAGCATAAATCACCAGCGGTTTTATTTGTTTATTGGGAGAGAAAAATAGCTCCAAATGGCCAGTGTCTGGAAATACGGCAGTTCTAGAAATCAAGGCTTTCTTTGTTCCCCACACAGGTAGACCATTGGTTATGTTTACATGAATTGTGTTCCTTCCTGGTTTTCAAGGAGGTGAAAACCTGCTAACATTGACTCTAGTGGCAATCACACCCTTAAAGTTGAAATGGGTGAATTCATATGTGAAATGCACCTCAATGGAGTTATTAGCCACAAGGTCCCAAACTCCCAAACAGAATGCCAGAACTTATTAGTGATTTTAAGATTTAGGGGCATGCCTACCAGAATTAAAATAAATGATAAAACTGTGCTTAACACTTCAGAGAATATACATTGTGACCTTGATTCTCAATTCCAGTTCTGCTTTAGAGACTTGTAGAAGAAGGAAACGTTCACCCAAGAGACAGACATTTTTTGTGCCATGCACAGCCTGGGCACCAAGAATTGAAACCAAACAAAGGCCGGAGAAGTGATTGAGTTGGTAGAGTTCATGCCCCGAATACTGGAAGCCCTGCATAAACTGAGGTGCGGTGCTATACACCTGTAATCCCAGCCCTTGGGAAGCAGAGTCAGGAAGACCAAGAAATTCAAGTCATTCTCAGTTACCTCAAATTGGAAGCTGCTACATGAGACCTTGTGTCAGACATAAAAGCAAGAATTAAAAAATAATAATAATAAAAAATAAATAAAAATGCCCCTGTCTGTCTTGTGCACAGAGAAGGTTGAGACCCATGCTCTAGAACAGTTTCTTCTACTAAAGTTTACATTGTTCCTGAAATCAAACTCGTGACATTCAAGAAAAAGTCCAGGTCTTCTGAAATTGAGAAGTCTGGACCCAAAGGTAGCACTTCCTTTGGGCCCTCCGGACTTAATATCAGGTGTGTACTCTTTGCCCAGGGAGGGAAGGCCGTGGTTCACCTGCAGTGGCATCACTCTGTCCCGAAATCTGCATCAGTGCCGGCCCAGATACACAGTCAGGTTTCAGTTGTGTCCTCTGTGTGTGCTCAGAGTGCTGAAGCATGGATCCTGCCTTTAGGATTTGTTTAATTAAAGAGACAGCGTTAAATGTTTTCTGGGTCTGACTTCTCCTTTGAGGTCTCTTCCTTCAGGGGGCCAAGGGGGCAGAAAATAGCTGCAATGCCTTATGAGCTGGTCAGCCAGGCTGCAGCTGCGGTGCGTGCCTCTAAGCCGGGTTTGGATACCCTCAGAGGAGCCCTTACCTCTTCTCTTTCAGATTCGAAGGGAGGCACAAAGAGATTCTGGGACTCTGAAGGCCACATAAGGAACTTCCTTTATTGAACATCCTAGCTGTCAAGTCTGGTTTGCCAAATGAGGGCGCAGGTCTCAGCTGAGGCCTTAGCTTTGACTCTAAGGAGTTATTGAGAGCTATTTTTAGAATTTTTATTAGTTCATTATTATTGTAGGTGTACAGTGTGTGTGTGTGTGTGTGTGTGTGTGTGTGTGTGTTCTGTGTGTTCTGTGTGTGTGGTGTGTGTGTGTGTGTTCTGGTGTGTGTGTGTGTGTGTGTGTGTGTGTGTGTGTGAATGAGAATGTGGGTCCCCGCCTGCCACATCACTCCTGTGGAGGTCAGAGGACAACTCTGTGGAGTCAGCTCTCTCTTTCCACCACATGGTTCCAGGGAAAGAACTCGGGTTATCAGGCTTGGCCTCAAGCACCTTTATTTACGTGCTGAGCCAGCCGAGTGCTGTGAGAAGTTTTACAGTAGCGTAATACAGAAAGATACAATCTGTGCAGGGTAGACAGCGATTTCAACCCATCTTCAGAGGAGGGTGGAGCCTCGGGCAGGTGCAGCTCAGCTTTGTAACTTCACTGATGTGGCTGATAAGGACAGGGTTTAAACCCTTTGGTGCTCGCTTTTGTCCTTCGCAAGATGACAGCAGGTCTTATGTCATCGGCGATGAGGAATTCCAGCTGCTTACATAGACAGCAAGTCCAGCTTCCCCTCTCCTGGGAAGCACAGTGTGGGGCGCCCCATCCTCTCTGAGTAGCCCTTGCTTCTTGACTAAATGTCCTGATGAGCAGTGTCCTCGGGTTCCCTCCCTTCTGATGGTCTCACCTAACCTAAACTTACCTACCTGTCCATATCGGAACTGCCACTCCCCTGTTCTTGGACTGTGGCCGTCTAAAAGGCTGTGTTGCCTTTACCCCTGTCTCTACACGTCTATGCAAGAGCTCACAAGTGCCATGTCAATCGGAAGAACCATATAAACTAGATTGCCGCACAAACTTCCTTCTTTAGAAAAAAAAAAATCCCTTTTGCTCAGAGCACTGTGTTCTGTTTATGGAACCAGCGGCGCCCGAACTCTTGAGCTCACGTTACTGATAAACCAGAACACCATCAAAGGAACCGGGCATTTCTGCTCACACATCCCACCTTCTCCACCTGCTGCCCCAGTTGTTCAAGGATGCCCAACAGTGGGTTTTTGTCTCATTTTCTCAATCTCAGCGTTTTCACTTCTAGAAAAACAACTTAAACTTACACTCTTACAATGAATCAGCGCCCCCTCCCCAAAAGGAAGCTCCCACAAATCAACAGAATAGCCAGGAAGAAGATTGGGGGGTGGCAGAAGGGAGAGACATACTGGAAACACTCGCGAATCGAAGCCAACGTGGACATGGAGTGGCAAGTCACACTCACGAAGAAAGCGCTCTTACCCCAAGTCCTGGAGCAGATCTGCTCCTCCATCCGACTGACCCCACAGCTCTGAGGGATCCTCGGTGCTCATGTTCCTGCCCAGAAGTTCTGCTCTGCCCATTCGTCCCTTTGCTTCCGCCTGTTGACCCCTTGCCAGGTGCTGGAGAGAGAGATGGGATCCAGTGCGGGACACACTGCTCCTCAGTGAGACCGGAGCCTGCTGTGGCTGAGGCTCTGACTAGCTAGGAAGTGAAACTCGGTTGCTCCTCCCACTGACACTGCCACCCTGGGCCTGAGGCACAGGCAGGGTTGTTCTGTCAGTCAGGAAGTGTGTAAACTCAGCAGCACCTCTGACACCCATGGTGCATCGCCAGGTCAGTTTTTGCCAAAGGAACTAGAAAGACCACCCACCCAGGGTTGGACTATTGGTTCAAACTCTCGGTAGGAGGCCAACTGTAGCTTCTCCCTAGTCCTGTTTGCCCACAGTTTGTGTGCCCACACCCACCTCATACAACAGCACAAGGAACACCAAGGAAACTTCTACATCAGAAGCATCTTTTGAGCGGGTTAAAAGAAAGTAGAGCTAAAGAAATAAAAGGGGGAAGGAAGGAAGGAAGGAAGGAAGGAAGGAAGGAAGGAAGGAAAGAAGGAAGGAAGGAAGGAAGGAAGGAAGGAAGGAAGGAAGCCAGGCAGTGGTTGTACATGTCTTTAATCCAGCACTCGGGAGGCAGAGGCAGGTGAATCTCTGAATTCTCAGCCAGCCTGTTCTGCAGAGTGAGTTCCAGGACAGCCTGGGCTACACAGAGAAACCCTGTCTTGAAAATAAAAAAATTAGAGTCAAACAAGCAGTCTCACTGCTCCTGGTTTGTTTTGGGGACTGTCTCAGGGTTTCTTTCCAATATCCCCTCGAGGCTAAGGCTGGGGAACAGTTACTGTTTCTCTTATGGAAGAAGGACTGGTGGCTGAGGCTGCCACAAGCATGCCCAAAGCCCTGGGTTCCATCCCCAGCACCACAGAAAATCCTGTCACCTAGCACTCAGGAGGTAGAGGCAGAAAGATCAGAAGTTGGAGGCTACCCTCATCCATACGTTGAATTTGAGGCCAGCCTGGGCTATGAGAGTCCCCGTTTCAAAACAAAAACAAAAATAAACAAACAAGGGGAAGGATTGAGTGAGAAGGAGAAGTTATAAAATAGCAGCTGACTTCCGTCTACCCCGGGTTCACGCTAGCGCTCACTGGGCTGATGTTTGCTGCAGATGCAGTGGTATCTAGACTCTTATACGGGGAGAATTCCATCTGCCTGGAAGTGCAGCTGTGGGTGGATAAAGAACCTTTCTCAGCATGTACCTCCTCCATTATCCTATGATGAACTGGGACTTACCAGGGGGCTATTGCATGTGGTACCATAAGGAACTTGCTAGAAGGAAGACCTGCCCAAGCATGCTCTACAGTGGGGTGTAGACTGTAGCCAGAGGCTGCTCATTTCGCCTCAGGAATCTTCCTCTCATTTCTGCTTCCCAGGGGTTCCTGAGGCCCTGGCTTCCTCTGCTTGCCACTGAGAAATTCCATAGTTCCCAGGGACAGAACTGGGGAGATCAGCTCTGATTGCACTCACATAACTGAGCATCCAGGAGCAGCCACAGTGTTTTTGGATAGAGGATTTTGTAGGCCAGGGAGGGAGCAGTGTGCACTGGGCCGAGGAAGCAGGACAGCCAGGACAACAGATTGCCTGCTCCCTTCTGCTAGTTATTATGCGGCACAATGTTATTCATTAAGCGGCACTGTTTACCTACCATACGATAAAAGCCACAAGGCAAGAGTTTATTAAGAGAAGGACAGAGGGGAATATGCTTAGGCCTATGGAAGATTGTGCATGGAGGGAGAGGAAGAAGAAGAGGGGGGAGGAGTCTGTGACCTGCTTTTTATGGGTTCCCACCCCCCACCCCTGCATATGTACACATGGGTTTATGTTGGTATGCCACATATGCGCATAGATTATGTGATCACACAGCCCACAGATTACTAGGACAGAAAGCCCTGGAATGACTAAACATCTCGCCTGGCTACTGGACAGCACACCTGCAGTCAGGTAGCTGGAGGAGTGGCCAGGAATTCCAACACCTTCCTGTAGCCCTTTGTTCAGTGTTTGACTGTCTTCTCCATTCATTCCCATTTTAGCACATCTTGGGATTTCCATTTTTCCTATTTTTTTTTTTTTATCTTTTTAAGGGGAGGTGTAGAAGGATTCTTAAAAGTTCTTATTAATAAAATCAAACCCGAGGCCAGTTATTGGGGTCAATGCTGGTAGATCAGAGAGACAGAACAAGCCACAGCTATCTCACCTTGCCAGTTCCTCAGCTGGTCCTGTTTCCTCAGACTGGAAGCCTCCGAGTCCTCATCCAGAATGAATCTCAGCTGAACTGCTGCTCGAAAGCCTGAAGCTTA